GTTGATATGGTAGAATACTAGAAGCATGGAGCCAATTGGGAGCTAAGTCTGGCTCTCTCTTGGTCTATCAGCAGAGGACTTTTAGCTTATACTTTTTTGTTATGTTCACACTGTGACACCTAACTAGCAATAATCGAATTCCTTTAATCATACGCTAATCTACCCTGAAAAAAAAAAATCATACGGTAATCTCTCTTTATTTTAATCATGCCTTCCCTAAAAAACATATGGTAATTAAGAAGAACCTATTTAGAAGAAGCACATCTGTGAAAGCCAGCCATAAATTTAAGGTGGAGCCAATCCTTATGCTTATTCGAGTTGTAAAATTTAGGGTATAACATAATTTATCTCGCTATGGTTTGGCATTTTTTCATATAACTTTCCTATGATTTCAAAAGGTATACATAACCTTTCATAGTTTGAATTAAAATATCAAAATGACGGAATTTGCATTCTATAATGGAGTCGACTAAAATGTCAAAAATACACTTGTGTAAAGTTGAAAATTATTTGTTAACTACCGGGGGAGGGGGGTTTATGTATATATTTTAGAAACATAAGGGGGATATGTGGTAAAGTACTAAACTATAAGAGGGGTGTCATATGGTAAAACATAAAATTATACGGAATTAAAATATCGTGCATATTATGTTTATATATTTTGGTGACTTCAACTATTTCAATTTTTAAACAAGAATAATTTCGACATTTTTAGGGGTTCCATTATAAAGGATCATTTTCGTCACTTTGATACTTTAGTCCAAACTATGAGATGTTATATATAACTTTTAAAACTATAGACGGTTATACTAAAAATTGCTAAATCACATTGGAGTGAAATACGTTTTACCCTAAAATTTAATGAAAAGAACCAAAATTTCTTCGATCTTTTGACTATTGTCCTTCAAATTGATGGAAGTCTAGATATTATTGATAAGAGAATAGGATATTCTAAACTATTGCAGCCAAATCTTATAATATTCACGAACAATCACCATTAATGTCGTGGATAAAGTTGTGAAATGGAGAAGAATCGGAGGACCAATCTTCTCATGTTCTAATATTCCACCATCCAGTCAAACCAAAATTCCATCAAAATCAAAACCACATTTCCCCCTATTTCCTAGTACCTTCCGATCCCTCAATAATAAATTCCATGACCCCACAGTAAAAAACTCTGGTAATCCTCAACATAAATAGATGGCTCAACCTTCCCAAGGTTTTAGAATTTCAATTTTGCAACTTTCACTGGTCAATTTCCTCTAGAAATTAGCATTGTATTGTTGATCAGCAGCAAGGGAAGGCAGGGCAGGCCATGGTTCCATATCCACAGGCAGAATTACCTCTTAACGAGAATGACTCACAAGAGATGGTACTATATGAAGTTCTGACTGAAGCAAATGCCATTTCACCCTCAAATTTCCCCTCTTCAAGAAACCAAGCTTCTGTGAATAAGATGCTTCATCAGCCATCTCATGCCACAGGCAAGAAGCATTACAGGGGTGTTAGGCGTCGGCCATGGGGAAAATACGCAGCAGAAATTCGCGATTCGACGAGAAATGGTACTAGAGTTTGGCTTGGAACCTTTCAAACTGCAGAAGAAGCTGCTTTAGCTTATGATAGAGCTGCATTCAGGATGCGCGGTGCTAAAGCTCTGCTTAACTTTCCTTCGGAAATAGTAACAGCATCTGAATCATCGATATTGAGGCAAAGAGTTCATCATAATCATCATGCAAAGCTGAACCTAGATCGACAGGAATCAAATTCAAGTAGTAGCTCCACTGAAGTTTCGTCTGGGACGGGGCTGGGATTGGCTTCATTTGAATCAGAGAATGCAGCTGGGGATTTGTCGAATGCAGAGTCTGAAGAATACACAGCGGCAAATTTCTCGGTGTTCCAAAATGTTTAAAGACAGGAGATTGAATTTTATTCCACTTCTTAGGAAACTATGATGTATTATAGCTGTGTTTTTTCAATCTGCGTCAGAATTCTCTAGCCATTTTCTCTTCCTTAAATTTTCTTGAGATTTAATCTCTATCCTAGTAAATACTTTGGTCCTGCAACTCTCCAGCAAATATGTTCATTATGTTCAGCTAAAAGAATTGAATCACCCGCATTAGCTGGCTCGGTGCTTGTACTTTGTACGAGTTTAAATTGCTCGATCAAGTTTCTCGAGAACCATAGAAAATGGTTAAAAAGTCCAGGGGCTAATTTCTTAATATTACGAAAGTTTCATGGAGAAAAGCTCTACCAAATATTTTTTGTCATCACTAGTCGACCAATCGAAAAGTTGTGCCTCTACAAAGTTTTTGACTTTTGGCCTTTAGCTTAACAGTGATTAGATCGTACTAAATGATCTATTGCTTTGAGCGTTGTATCAACCGTATGAAAAATTAGGATCCAAGACTTCCCTCCCGTTTACACTTTTCTGGTTCCATAGGTAGGCAGAGCACGCATCCACGTGGCACAATTCCTACATATCAAGATTCATCTTGTACATTCTTTTCCAAGGTGGCCCTAATGTTATAGAAATTCATAAAATTTTAACCAAAATTTGGACCAAATGAAAGTCATCTAGTAATAATTAATATGTAGTGAGGAAATTAGATCAAGCAGACCTTAATTTAATAATTAAAATTGAGGTAATAAGAATTAAAAATCCTGAATTCAAATCTCTCTTCCCCTCCGCTTCTCAAATTTGACCTTTCCTTTGCTTAACAAAATGTAATAGGAAAACTAGCAAGTAATCACATCATGAATTATGCACATGGTACGAATTGCTCAACCCTTTAATATTTATAACCACAATATCACATTTTTTTATATAAATAAAAATTTGAATGGATTCCACTCCAATTAACACCACGGATCAAGATATGTTACTAAAATTATGGATCACTTTTAAAAATTTTTACAAATCATTCATTAATACAGTCATCACACGTTCTTTTGTAAAGAAAAATAATCCGTCCTCACTGGTTGCACCAGCACCGGAATACCGCATCACTATTTACTACTTGGGAGTGCAAAGTCTACTGGCGCGCGTAGCGTAACTTTACCAACAAAACAACTGCCGCATTCGATAACAAGCATCCGTGTGAGACCGCTGAAAATGGAGGCACAAGACCGTGGCTGACCAAAACCCCGAGAAATTCTAGAACTGAGTGACAGAAGCGCTGACGAACCCCCTACTCCAGCTTGCACTGTCTTGGAATCAGTTTCTAGAGTTTCGGGTGTAATTTTTTTTTTTTTTTTTGTTCTGAAACAATAAGTGATTTTATTAATACTGTGTATCAACTATATATTTAGTGGGCAAAAGTTCAGTAAGAGGCTTAGAGCTATACAAGTGCACTATGACACTAAGGGTTAAGCCACTCTTCATCCAAAAATATGCTTAGCTCATAATTGCTAATAGGGTCAGCTCTATCACTAACTTCATTTCTAGACAAAACAAATCAACATTCCACAAGCATAGAGCCTAAGCTACTGATGTCTTCTGAGTGGGAGTATAAACCCAATTTTCTAGAGTTCGGGTATAAAAGATGTATCTTCTTGGGCTAAATGCTTGATATTCATACTTGACCATAAGAAATTACTCATAACTGTTTAAGTTTGACATTGTAACAAAACTCTGAATCTCGCGAGACTGGCATTATAGAACAGGATAGGTACAATTTAGCGTCGGTCTGTGTACTGATCTCGTGTAATTTTGTGAATTGCCTATGTAAAAATTGATGTATTACCCAACAAAAAAATATTGACTCAAATATGTGTAGAATTTATTAGTTTACATTATACAGTCTCCATCAAAAATATAAAACTGAAACCTGTGTTTGACGTGTATAAGATATTTAGTACGACAAATAAAGTTCGCATTTTTAGTAAACTCGCACTAGCCCTCTCCCTCCACGTGATCTCGTTTTAAATTCTACTTAAGTTGTGCAATCTGCAGTTATTTGATTCAGGGTAAATTATACTTTACCCTCTTGTGATTTAAAACAGTTTTATACAATCGTTTTATGATTTTAAAAATTATACATAACATTCTCATGATTTGAATTAAAATGTCAAAATGACAAAAATTCTACTTTGTAACAAAATAAGCTAAAATGTCAACATTACCCACTTTTAGAAGTTGAAATAGCTAAAGTTGCCAAGGTGTATAATGTACTATAGACTACACTTTAACCCCCCCCCTGGGCGGGTGGTTTATTACTTTCTCATATAATTATCTTATAGTTTTTTTAAATTTATACATAATCTCCTATGATTAATAAATAATTTTGATTTTGACATCAAATATTTTTGGTAATTTAGTAGTAGAGGGCAAGTTCGGTCTTTGACTCTTAATCCAAATTATGCAGGAGTTGTGTATAGTTTTTAAAACGACACGAGGGTTACGTGAAAATTTTCATGTTCAAAGGGATAAAGTGTAATTTGCCCTTTGATTGAATTGAAGAATGTAAGGGTTGTGTAGCATAACTCTGGGCTATGGCTTTTGGACTTGAGCTAGCATGGGAGCTGGGATTGAGGAAAGTGATCTTAGAATCAGATTCACGGATGGGACTGCAGCTGGTGCAAAAATGCTCCCAAGATGGCCCTCACTTTAATCTAATCCAAAGGATAAGAGGTGCCAAGAACAGAGAAGGGGATTGTCAACTGAAGCACACGTGGAGACAGGAATTGCTGCGCTGACCATCTAGCGAAAATCAGCCTGGACTTATGCCGGGGATGGAGGAAGCTTGAAGAACCCCCATCATCCTTAAGATCTTTCCTAAGCCATGATGTAATGGGTGTTAGCCAAGCTAGACTAGTCTCTCTGTAGACCCAAAAAGAAAAAAAAAGAAAGAATCGAAGAATATATAATTGTCAAAGGATGCAATTGGTTGTCCAAAGAAACAATCTTGGATCCAACATAATTTAAGAGGACAAACCACAATTCACCCAAGGAAAGAGATGAGAATGATATCCCATATCAATCTCGAGATTCTTCAAATCTCTACCATGAACTCTGCTGCTTTTTGATTAAGGATGATTCAAATGATTCAATATGATAGTCTATAAGTAAGTACACAGCTTTTCCACACTCTGGCGCGTAGAAATTACGGTGATGTACAAATAAGGTACATATTGTTGTAACAACATGAAATCTTCACACTGCATTTGTATTGCCAGTGCTACTTAACCAGTTACGGTAAGGAGAACAAATTTTCTAAATATTCGCTTTCAAGATTTGGAAACTGTAATAAGTTGATGTCACTCATAGGAGCTTCTTCCCAATATTCCGCTGAAATCTTTGCAGATTGAGCATTGTTGATGAAAGAGTCCTCAGTTTTGTCCCATTCTCTTAAGACCCTTTTTCTAGAATTAGACATGATTTCACCACAAGTAACTGAAGCACTTGTAGTAGTATCATTAGTCTGACAAGAAGTTGCTGATGAATCCATGTAATCTTGTGGAATAGACTTACACGTTCCCATGGCTTCCGCAACTGTTTCAAGTGGGAAGTTAAGATATGCCTTGGGACCTCTGATTTTCAGTGCAGCCTTGTCATAAGCCATAGCTGCTTCTTCTGCTGTTCCAAAAGTCCCAAGCCATAGTCTAGCTCCTTTTCTTGATGAATCTCTTATTTCAGCTGCATATTTGCCCCATGGCCGCCTTCTCACCCCGCGATAATGTCTTGTAACAACCTTCTTGACCTTTATTTCATCAGCTCCCGAATCCATCTTCTTGCTACTGCATGTTTCTTGTGAATGAACAGTCCTTGATGACTCTGTATTGTTTGGAAGATTAGCTCCATCTAGAAGTTGCTCCCATGCTTCGGCTCCCATGGATATAAACCTGCCTAAACTTGGAAGCCTTTCTAGTAGTGATCCGTCTCTGGAATTTAGTCCAGGCAAATCATGCCATGTTTGGGAAGATTCAACTGGATTTTGGTGTGCATTTTCTAACTCACTCTTGGCTATATAATTAGCCCAAACATTCTCTAAAATCGTGGATTTCTCGTCTTGAGCCATTCCACTTGAAGCGAATATTCTATTAACTTGATAAGGTATAGAGAAATAGAGAATGATCAGGGAATGTTCTCCTCGATTTGCATAGCTTTATATACATAGCCTTGGTCTTTGATTTTGATGGCTCCAGTAGCTACGGTTTCTCCGAGTACATGAATAGGTATCCAGTAAGATGCTTGTGCTGCAAATTAGCTAACTTCAAGGATGATACCTGATACCAGGGTGTAGACAACAAGAAAAGTAGCCGGCTTGAGTTCTTTTAAATTGATTGCTGGAAAAGTACTCGTTTGAATTTGTCATTCATTTTAAGTGGAATATGCTTCTGGTGTGATTTCATGGACATCTTCCCTGCACTCAACGGTAATCGTGATATAAGGGAAAATTTTTAAAAAAAAAATCTCAAAAAAATGCTTATACTTGGAAGGTTGTATGGTAGTATTTGGAAATGGATTTGAATCATTGTGCTCTTTACAAGCTCTCTGGGATTACACTAACTCCACGCCACCAACCTTCATGGGAAAGATTTTTAGTAACACTTTTCAGGTTCATTTGGATGGTCCATTTTTTTATTAGAGGAAAATGGAAGGCCCAAACTCCAAAAACTAAAACTTGGCTCTTTTTTCGAGTTTTTTTTTTCTACTCTCCCATCTCTTCTCACACCCTTCCCACCTCCAATTATCAAACACAATATTTGAATTTTGAACCTAACAGTGGAAAAAACTTCAAGAATCCTTTCCTAGTCAGTGGACCAATCCTCAGTTTTCATGTGAGGGAATAAACATGCACAAATACTTATGAAGCAGCTCATGCGCAATTTGTCGGATTTGATGGTTTGTGATTTATAATATAATCTTTCTTATTTTGTAATTTTGTTAAATATAATAAATTTTCAAATTAGATATATCCGTAACATGTTCTATAAATTTTTTGTCATTAGTGCAGTTTTTTCTGTTAGACAAATCATATTGGACGGTATCTAACTAACTTATTAATAATATTGACCCCTATTTTATTTGAAAAAAAAAAAAAGAAAGCAAGGATAGGGAGACAGAGATTTTTTTTTCTTTTGTCAAAAGGGAGAAAGAGATTGATCATCTGAAAAATAACATTTCGAATGGTTTCAAATATAGAATAGAATAGGTTATACAAACGTCTCGAAAAAAAAAAAAAAGAATGGCTTCAATCAACTTCCTCGCCGCTTAAAATATTACCAGCTTCGATTCTTTTCCCCGGCACCTTCCTGTAACATACCTAAACTGTATCCAACTAGAGAAAAGAGACCACAATAAAATCTTGGGCTGACCGAAATTTCTTTTGAACTTCGCGAGATGGGGCAATCGGAGGCCCTGGTAAAGATATGATCAAAAAATATTCCTGTGTCACCAATTAGTCAAAATTGCTTGCTGGTGAAGGTTAATATAATTTGTTTGTGTGAACTTGAAAAAGTCTTTTTACTTCTTCTCATTTTCGTTTTCTGAAGACTTCAATACTATTCTGCATAAGCAAAGGGAAGACGTTTCTTTGGTGATACTTCATCCAGAACAAGACCAAAAAGAAATGACAAGGAACTAAGGGATGGATTTTAAATTGTAGGCTTCCGTGATCACGAAGATTAAAGATACTTTAGCTAGCAAACATTCCTACATCCATTGGAATTGCATGCTTTGATTCTGTGCAAGAAAATAAAATGCGAAAAATTCATGCGTTGCACTTTTGTCATTCCAAAACTTAGATTCCTAAAAATCCAACTCAAGCTTTGATGGAACAAAATTATTACAACGCAAACAATCAGTTGTAGCAGATTGAACTTGAAGGATTAAATTTTATTATTATATCTGTATTCTGTAATTATTTTTTTTTTTTTTAAAAAGGTGAATAGGAATGACATGAGACATCATGTTACTTTTCAGGCCTGAGCTGTTCGGTTTGAGCCCAGTACATTTAGATCTGAAAACTCGAAGCCCGTTGAAAATTACCTCATTCTTTGCTGATTTCCCATGAGTCCATTGAATTAGTCCATATTAGAAAAGCCTATGTAACCTGTATCACAATCTTTGTTGGCATTTCCACCATCCCCAAAGTTTTTTTTTTTTGAAAAAAAAAAGTATTATAGAGAAGGAAGAAGCAGAAATGCCAAAAGGAATAGAAGTATTAATTGTAGTAAAACTAAGTGATGAAAATAAGAAGGAAATTTAAAAAATAATAATAATCAAAGGCATGGGCGGAGCCACATGTATCTAAGTGTGGATAATTGCCCCCACTTAAATTTGAGAAAATCAACTTTCAGGTTTAGAAATTTTAAAAAACTATAAAAATTACTTCTTATTTGACCCCATTAAAATTTAATGCATCCTTTTTTCTATTTATATTGACCCCCTAAACAATTAAAAATTCATAATTATTACCATCTACGTGAATTTTGGGTCTCTTTAAAATTAATTATGGAAGTTATTTTAAGAATAAATTCTTTCAAAGTTTTCAAATCCAAATGGAGAGAATAATTTTCACATCTAAATTTAACTTCATAACCTATATTAAACCTTAAAAAGAGAAACAAAAACATCCATTGATTTTAACCATACTATTATTACTTCATTTCATGTAATATTAAAAATCTACCCTCCTTACCCTAGGGTCTAAGCTCCGCCACTAATCAACAGGATCTCGAGAGAATGAGTTGAAAAGAATTCAAAGGCCTTGCTGCGGTTGCTTAATTTTCAGAAGCACAACGGTTTCATGCTTTTGCGGCTGTCCAGTTTCCATGTATTTAATCTGGTTGAAGGAAGGCGTAAAAGATTAATCTGGTCCAGTTTCCACTGTTTTGCAATTTTATAGTTTATGTCTTGATTGACATATAAGGTTTTGACTTTTAGATCGAATCTTTAAAATGAATTCACCGCAACTCAGTCAATTAAATTCATCCTTCCTCTGCCAATCTTCCAAGTGCAACTTTTGGTACATGAAGCCAAAATCAGAGGATTTCCAAATCGAGAACATTTGAGATTTCCTTGTTTTGGATTCATGTTGCAAAACTTCTTAGAAATTCGTATTCTACCATTAAAAGACGTGCAATTCTTTGAGTAGAGAAATTAATTTGGAGATCTCAATTGTTGGTGGTATGAAAAAGAGGGATGCTCCAAATCATTTACTAGCCAGCAGAACATCGAATAAATTAAGATTGTAGGTGGATAAACAAGGTGTTTGTTTTTTTTTTTTTTTTTGGTTTTAGGAAAATTATACGTGGATTAGATGCTCATCTGTTTTGGCCAAGCATCAAAAGGTCAAATTGTAAATCGAAATATTATAATACATGGGTTCAACTTTTAGCTGTTGCTTTTCTTGGATGGACGTATGTATATTGTAACAAAGAAAAGGTTTCATATGTTCAATATTGGTGGAGGCTCTTCTTCAAGTTCAAGATTTTACTAGATTTTAACCCATGCATACATTAATTGCACGGGTAAAAACTTGCTGAGTAGGTATGGTATTAGTTAATTAATTGCATCTAGAATGTCAATATATTTTTAAAAAATTATTCAATTTGGAAAAACATGCAGCTATATTGAGCTTTAATGTTTTGATTAAATGGAGAAATTTTCTTATAAAAATCAACTAAAATAATTAAAGTGAATATTAATTGCCTATTATTGAATCAATTTGTTATAAATAGCAATAAAAATTGTTACAAGTGAGATATAATTCAAGAAAAGGGGCACAAAGTGAGAATCGTGTACTTTTTCTGGGTGCATGTTGTAATTAACCCAATTTTTTTTTTTTTTTTTTATCTGTTATGTACATTATTTTGAAAGAATTTCATGACTTAAGACAAAAAGAAAAGAAAAAAGGGTTAGACAACAAGAGGATTATTTTCCACCCACAAATACAAGCGGAGACAAGGTAGAATGCTTCAAGCTAAAAAGCTAATGCCATTAGCGGCAACTTATTAAAATTGCACAGCCAGCTTTTCATTTTGGTGCCCATGAATTCCTGAAACGTATGCACGTTGATGAACATTGCACAATTTAATTTTCTTGTCAGTTACCTATAATGGTTATGTAATTGTTTGGATTGCTATTTTTTCCAAATTTTTTTTATATTTTCCATGAACTCATTTCTCAATTACCTTTTTATAACTTCACATATATTATATCGCTACAGTACATTTTCTTTTTTCAATACATTAGGTTGTTTTTTCTTTATGTGCTAGTTCAGTCTTGGGCGATGTTCGTACAATTTACTTTTATAACTGAAAAAAGCATGAAAATCTTACACTAAATTGCTGGAGCTGCGAATAAGGTGTGCACATAGACAAAATCAAGTGATTTCATTAATATAGGAACTTAATAAATTGTTCAATGCCCACATTCTTAAGTGAATGGACATGAACTATTGATTTTCCACCAAATCTTACCAATTAATCATTTTCTTGATGCGAAAAAAAAGTGATTTTCTTGATACACACTACTAGTATTATATTTACGAAAAATGAAGACTCCAAAATGCACACGTAAATCTTTGTTGCACAACAAAATTGTGAATGTCTATATTCCTAACCAACTCCATTATGACAAGTATTTTTTTCTCCAAAAAAAAAAAAAGAAAAATAAATGTACGAATATGTCGAACTCCTTTATTTGTTGGACATCTCGTTGTGACCATAAATAGCATAACCATCCCCAACTCCTTTCGTGTCAGATTGTTGCTGTAGCAATAAGCGCTCGAAAATGAATTCTCCATATGGGTTTTTGCTGCCTCTTCTCATTTGCTATTCTCTGGTATTCTTTTCAGCAAATACCATCGAAGCTGGAACAAAATCAAGAAAGCTTCGGGAGCTGATCTCCAAGAATTCCATTTCATCTGTTTTTGTCTTTGGTGACTCCACAGTGGACCCTGGAAATAATGACTATATAGGAACTGCTTTTAAGAGCAACTTCCCACCTTATGGGGAGGACTTCTTTGACCACATTCCTACTGGGCGATTCAGCGATGGACGGCTTGTTACTGACTATTTGGGTAAGTTTTCCGGCTTCCCTTTACCTGCTTTTTGCTCCCTTTGCACCACATTATGGAGTCTATTAACTACTTGTGGCTTTTGTTTGAGATTGTTTAGCTGAATATGTGGGGTTAAAAGAAACAATTCCACCATATTTGGACCCAACACTTAGCGTGGAGGAGCTCATAACCGGAGTCAGTTTTGCTTCTGCGGGGTCCGGATTCGACCCTCTTACAGCTAAACTAAGTGTACGTCTGGCTCTCATTCTTCTCTTGCGTGTGTGTCTCTGAGATCTTTCTTCCTGTTCCATGACAGTTTTACAATAATGAAGGAGTAATTGTGTAATTGGTACTCTTGTTCTGCTAGGATTGGTTTCGGATTTGCATGGCAGAAAGGTGGCTCACTCATAAATCCACAAAATAATCTTGAACAGATTTTGTGATTCATGTTTGAACAAAATTAATAAAAAGGAGTACCTTTTTTTAAGATGTGATGTATGTACGCTTAAAAAAATAATTAAAAATTGTGTTAAAAGAATGTTTTCACAAAACCTGTTTTATGTTTGTATAAAAGAAGCAGCAGTTCAGACAAGACCAAAATCGTAGTAGTAGTGATGTAGTATCAGGTATGACCGTGCAGAGTAGTTCATTTCTTTAATTATTCTGCAACCATTGAGTTCTGACCATAAATACAGCGTTTGTCATATTTCGTCACATCTCCATTTGTCCACCTTGATAATTATTGATCTACTGGTGATATTTCCTGCTTCGGTATGTAGCAAATAAGTACGTGATGATGACCGTAATCGAATCCATTCAAACGTTTTTACATAAAAAAAATAGCAATATATGCAGAAATTCTATAATAGGCTATCCACGTTGAACTGTTGCATTATAACTATACTCTCTCTCTCACATACACACAAGAAAAAAGAACCTGCTAGTCTTCATCCCTATATTTGGAGTTCCAATTGACGAGGGGCAATTTAAAATAGAATTACTCACAAATAATGGATTTAAATCAAACGTGCTCTAAAAGTGCATGTGATAAAATTTGAATCTTCATATAGCCCCGTCATGACTTGTATAAATATTCACTTTACTCCCTGTGATTTTTGCATTTATCCACGTAATTCCTCTATGTTCTTATACGAGGTAATTAAGCCGTCGATTGATTTAGCATTTAAGTAAGGATACTATTGATATTTCAGTTAACGATGTTATATATGTTAATTTTAGTCAAGTTTCCACTTTATATAAAATCATAGGGGATGAAGTGGACATTTTGAAACGTTAGAAGGGTTATGTGGTAATAGATGAAACCACATGGGCCAGGTTACATGTTACTTACCCTATTATTTACTTTGTGCTCTTTGATAAAATGCAATAGTTTAAGGTGACATAGTTTCCTTCTTTGCCGCTTCCAGTAATTAAAAAAAATTGCAAGAAAATTCTTGGCTGTGCACCTCCTGAGACACTTAAACTATGTAGAGTCGAGCAACACTAATCACTAATTAGAATCAACGTCTCAGAAGCTGTAGTTAACACGTTATGTATTGTTGCAGAATCCCAGAAGCAAGAACAAGTAATAACGTACGTAAGAGATTGTCAAAGGAACTGCAATCTAAAATCGTATTGGTACTTTTATAACGTGCTAAATTAAATGTGGCAGTTTTACAAAGGGGTCACCTGCACACAATTATGTACACGAATACGTACACATTCGTACTTGTATGTATTTTTGGACTCTTGGGCATTAGGATATCTTTAGGTTATTGGTAAAGATGATCTGCTTTTGCACTCTTTTTTTGGTAGTTTGGTTGTTTTGCTGGAAATTTTCTTGATATGAAAGGCCAATTCCTTGTGACTTTAAGCATGTATATTTGCAGGAATAAGTTTTAACTAGTAACTGTGTAAATTCTAAGAACCAGGTGATGATGCTTCACCAATAATAGTCCTTTTGAACATGCGTTATGGACATGCCATAATGTAAACCAGTTGCTTTACAGAAATTATTACCTTTCTGGTGTAATGAATTAATAATGTACGTAGATCCAGTAAGACACTTCATCTGTAACTAATAGATCATGAATTTATTAAAGAAAGAAAAAAGAAAACTTAAATCAGTCATGTAGAAGTTACTCCAATTATATTTCCTGAAAAAGTAGTTCAATTAGTTTGGTTTGTTCTATGATGTGGCAGGGTGTAATTCCAATGCAGCAGCAACTAAATTATTTCAGAGAATACAAAGCAAGAATTGAAAAAGCCATTGGAGAGAAGAAAGCAAAAGAGCTGATTAACAAGGCCTCCTTTCTAATAAGCTGTGGCACAAATGACTACGTGGTCAATTACTTCAATAACCCGATTATGCAAATTAACTACACGGTCTCAGCTTACCAGAAGTTCTTGTTAGACAATGCCCACCAACTTCTCAAGGTTAGTCTTCTAAATCTTTTCATTATTAAGCATGCATGCCAATTATTCTAAACCTTGTAACTGCAAAATTCCTAGGAGTATTTAATTAGTGGGTTCGCAGCTTATGACTATATATAAATTGTGGCCTAAAAAGGGAAAAAAAAACTATGAAAGTATGTAGATATTGTAGCCCAAGTGGTAGATATGTAAGGCCTGAGGAAGTCATACTCTGAATTCTAACTTTACACCCATTAATGAAGATGGCACCGGAATTTATTTTTTAAAGTAAATTGAAGATAAAATCATTGATTAGGATTTAGGAAAAATGTTAAAGAAACTTTCTAAGACAGATAATCCCTTAATGAGTTATTTGGTTGGATTTCTCTTCTTCTTTTTTTTTTTTTGGACCCAATAGATTCTAGTTAACGCTTACTCCTACTCTCTATTAGGGAGAAGGGGGAAACCAAAGGAATAAAGAGAAGAGAATTTGGAGGAAACTGAATTGCCACCAGACTAGTCAAACTAGTGAAAATTTTAGAATATAAGTTAAGGAATTCGATTTTTTAACCTATATCCAAAAAAATATTAAAATCTCTTTCTAGTAGTCAACTACTCTATAATATAAGTGGTTGGTTAAAATACGGTTGGATTTCAGGTTACTAAAAATATTTAAGGGCATGCTGACACTTTCAACAAACATTTATTTTGCATTAGTTTCGTCCAGGCTGTCCTACTGGGTTCCGTACACACAACGTGGAGCTTCGTGGTGAGTTTTCCACCATGGCCACCGCAGCCTCGTCCCTCTCAGCCCCTCTTTTTCGAGTGTGGTTATTTTTGTCCCAGCCATCTTTGAAGTTTCGGGTGAAATTGAATTTTTCAACAAATAGACTAATTTTTAATATTTTTTATCTCACATATATTATATTATTAAAATTAACACGGAATCAGATAATCTTTCATCTAAAGTTAAACCACATTATTAATTTATGGTCATAGAAAAAAGAATAAGATCTATGGTTAACTGGGGGAGGATTGGTTGGGTGTTACGACGGGAGGACGGCAAGTAAGAGGTCCTATATTCAAAATCTCCCACTTACCAAAAAAAAAAAAATCTACGATCAATTACATTTCCAATATTAGTAAAGAATTTTCTTTTCAATTTTTGATCTAATATTCATGTTTTCTAAATAGGATTTATACGTTCGATTTATTTATCTATTCTTACAAAATAATTTATCTTTTAGAATTCTGTGTACATTGAGCTAGCTTCTCTCAATTACCATAAGAACGTCAATGATAGAAGAAAACTATTAGTTTTAATCACTAATGGAAACTTAACCACAAAACACACACACAAAATATTCATCAATGTGCAGCAAGTTGATACAATGTTTAATGGTGGCATAATTGCAGGGATTAATAGATGAGGGAGCACGGAATATTGGTTTAGTGGGGTTGCCACCAATGGGGTGCTTGCCCGTTGTAATAACCCTTAATTCGATCAGTGCATTTCATCGAAATTGTATTGAAAAGTATTCCTCTGCTGCAAGGAGTTACAACGAGGGGCTTCAAGAAATGGTGGCTTCTGTCCGACGTTCCGATATCAATGTAGTTTATGGTGACATTTACAATCCAATCAATGACATGATCCAAAATCCTAGCAAATATGGTCAGTGCATTTACTCCTCATTTGCATTGGTTTTCCTTCTTATTTTTTGGCATGTTATTTTGGTCATAACTAAAATTGCAGATTAATGCTGTATGTTTCTAGTTTTCCTTTTTTTTTTTTACTCCCTATGTTCATAGGAACCTATTGCTAGCTTATCTAGGTAGCAAACCCCAGGATTTTGTACAATTCAAAAGGCAAAGACATCTACGCGCAAGATTTTGGACTTTGGGACCTCTATCACACTTTTAGCTGTTGGAGTTGTGGTTTTTTAAATGTGGCATTTATCTCTTACTCCCTAGGTCCTACATAAATATAGGCTCACTTTCCTTTTGTATCTATCCCAAATTATAGGCCCATTTCCTTTTTTAAAAAAGTAGTTAGTTTGGTATTTTACTAACATACTCATATTTATTAGAAATTTTTGAATATATTAGTTGCCTTCTAATGGCTCCAAATTGAAAATTTTCATTGTTTAGTAATTTTATTTTTGTTTTTCATTTTAGTGAAAAATGTAACATTAAGTCGATTGACTCTTGCATTGAAAAATTAAAGTACTCTAAGTTCCAAAAACAATATAGTAACATGTGACTCTTACTTTGAATAAATGATCCAATTTTAATAAAGGGGTATTTGAGGAAAGTATGAAGAAAAAATAATTTATGTAACTGCATTAATAAAATTTCTTACTCTGTGTAAAAAAAAAAAATAGATCTACCTTTATGAGACAGACAGAGTATTATATTTAGATTCAATGGTTGTGGGACAAATATCATTCTAAAATGTCTCGTAACATGAGCGTAAAAGCAAAATGTATAACAGAAGATTCAAAGCCAAGAACTTGGTTGCATACTTGAAATCTATGGAGTAGTATTGAAGAGCAAATATGCGCAACTAGGAAAAAGCAGGCAGCATACCCTAAAATGCCCTTATCTTATAAAAGTTTAATTTATTCTTTTAAACAATTGTAAAATAATTTGGCACAATTACAAAAAGAATAAATGTCAAATATTTCATGCCAATATTTGTTGTTTGATAACCATCTATCGCTACAATAGGTTACTTTTCATAATGTTTTACTGGGAATAGAGATTCTTTTTAAGATAGAGAACAAAGAGTCATTTGATTTTTCTTTTAAGTTTGTGGACTGGTTCAGTGGTAGAGCTACCATAGTGTGGTAGTGATTTTGGGCAATTTATTTTAGGCTATTGTTGATTTATTCTTGATTTTGATATCAAAAAAGGAAAGAAAAAAACAAAAGCTACAAAAAAATTGAATGACAAAGAAAATTATCAAAAAAATATTACTCCTTCCGTCTCAATTTATTTGTCATATTTCGAAAATCTAACTTTTTAAGAGCGGTGCTTTGATTGTGATATTTTATTTTTCTTTCTAATCTTACCTCGCAAATTCAAAAATTTGAACAACATACATATGATTAAAAGAAGGGTATATATTGGAAGGAGAGATTAAAAGGTGTTTTGACTTTCTTTAAATGACAAATATTTTAGAACATTATAAAATAAAAAGTATGACAATTTTAATGAGACAGAAGGGTACTAGTTTGATGTTTGATCAAGATAGAGGTTAAGAACAACATTGATAGTTCTTCAGATTTTCTCATCCTTTATATAAGCATGTCAAACAAGGGAGTTTTATTAGAATGCTAAAATTGGTATTGCCATTTTAAATTTTTAAATGGCCATGGGAGGTGTATACAATTTTTAAAACCTTAGGGGTGTTAAGTGAAATTGTTAAAAACCTTGGAAGAGGTTCCTGAAGTTATCCCTTATAAAAAAATTCTTGTCTCTTTCAGCGTCTCAATCTCGCCATTCCTTAACGGTACCACCACATTTTGATGTAACACTAAGAATGGTCTCCAATGTCTGTAGGTTTCGAAGATATTAATACTGGTTGTTGTGGGACTGGACTGATTGAAGGATCATTCTTATGCAATCAAGAGTCCCCTGTTTGCCCTGATCCGTCAAAGTTTATCTTCTGGGATGCAGTACATCCAACTCAAGCAGCATATTACCATTTGTTCAAGTCCCTACGTTCACTCGCTGATTCCTTCATGAGGGGATAACGCCAATCAATTATCTTGTTGTTGTCAATGTAATGGCGTGCGCAAGAATTTGTAAGGAGGTCACATTTACAACACCAAAAAGAAAATTAATTTAAATATTGTGTACATCAGTTTGTTGTGTTTCATGTAAATGAATCTCGTTCATCGAAAAAAAAAATGGGCATATATAATAGAAGTTACTGCATTATTGAAATAAGTTGAATCTTTTGTACTTCGATTAACTCTCTCTTTCGCTTTTGTATTTGTGAAGATTGGTAGGAAAATTTTTCTTTCCTATTTTCTTCCTAAACGATTGATGAACTAAATGATTGGGATGCCCTTAGCAAACATATTGACAGAATTAATGTGTATATTAATTAGTTTGATTAATTGCCACCTTCAAGCTTTTGGCCTGCCTTCATATATTTGCAAGAGTATTTTTGAAACTTGCAAATTTTCAAGCTAGCTAGTACTTCAAAATAATTAGGAAAGATCTTTTATAGTGGAATATATACAATTAATAAGCTTTAACTAGGTAGTCAGAAGTGAGGATATGATTGTGGTAATCTGTTTTTTATACTTGACACTTTTTCGATGTCATTTCCTATGATTTGATCAAGTGAGGATGATTTATGGTTTCTTTGCACAGCTTTTTGCAGCCTAGCCGAGAGTTGATCTTCTCAATTAGAGCCTTCCCCTTTCAAAGTTTTCTTAAGCTCATCTCAGACGGTGTTTCTTGAGGAAATCCTAATCTTGCAGCCCGTTCAGGAGCAACGAGAGACTCTTCTAGCAAACTAATTGCAGCTTTTGCGCTTTTGGATGGGATTCGTCATATATAGTTTGAAAGATTGATGTGCTCATTGAGCTTGATTCCCATGTTTAATTATATATACCAATGCTGTAAGAGCATCATTAGTAGGCCTTGTTCTATTGATCGGAGGATTCAGCTAATTAACCTATTGATCAATCCCCAAGAATTGCAAACTCAATTCCATTTATAAAGAGTCAATCAAGTCGCATGTTTTAGCTAAGGAAGAATGTAATTGAAGAAGAAACATCACTTTTGATTTTTCTCTTTGCCCATGTTAGCGAAGGATTTCTAACATTAGGTCCTTTCCTTTGTGCATATTTTCGAATTTCGTCATTATGATGTAGTGATTCTTTTTTAGTCAATTAGGGGATGGGCTATTGATGACTTGTGGCCTTTTAGGGAGAGATGAAGTGAGTGTTTAGAAGTTAGAAATCGGGCTTCCATCCAAGTAAACACCTTTTTGGGTTTTTTTTTTTTTTTCTCTTTTTTTCCCGAGCGGATTATACTCAGCGGGATTATATTTTTAGTTATTTTTAAAGGGTTTGTCTAACGGGTACTAAGAACAATAGTTAACACCAATTGAGTGCAATCAAGGACTTAATCAGTTGGAAGAAAAACTTTAAGTCTCTGCTGCTACTTTAATAAATTGTACGTACTAACCTGGATGATGGGAATTGCAGACTACTCCATGCATTTAAATAAATCTTTTTTCAGATGCATTAAAAGAGATAAGAAATAACTTAATCTTCTGCATGCAATATTACGGAAGATCCTTAGTTTACTCTAGCTTTTATTTATTACTCCGTACTTCGCTAATTTCCCTTCACCACCAGTTTGGTAAGAAAATATGCAATAAAGAATAACAAGCAATAATATATAATCAAGTTAGGTATGAGGTTTTATACAATATTCGGGCCTTATAGTCAACAAGATTTTACAATGACCATCAAACTAGAACTGGTATCGCGAAATAATTGAAACTCTCGTGAATTGGTACTCTCATCCATCCGAAATATACTTGCACCTATACAATCTACAGAAAGATGATTCTGAAACAAAGAACAATAGTTATCCTAGCTAGTCATCATATAATATCAGTTGGCAAATATTTCGTAAAACGTAAGATTTATCTAATTAACTTATATGGAGGTGTAGACCAACCACTTGTTTGCATAATTATGTATCAAATTCAATTTGAAAAAATAAAAAAAAAAGTGTTCAAATCTAACTCGGAGATAAAAGTCTTTCAGGCACTTACATATCCGTTAGGTAATAGTCTAACTTTTCACCAAATTTTGTGCTAAAAGAATTTTAGTTTAGCTTCAGTTGCCCGAACTGGAGAAATATTTGATGCCATGGTCATGTCTACATTGCTTGCCCCTCGACTTCTGTGTTCTTTCCACCCTTTCGTGTTCCATACTTCTTTGAGTAATGGTCCTTGATCTCCAATCTGAAAAATCCTTGGCCTCAGCTTTGCCATGGATTGCTTCATTAAGTTAAAGTCAAGATATTTTCTTGTTGGAACCGGCAAAGTTGGTTCAGAAGGAAAAGGGTAGTTGAGAACTCATTGAAACAATTCACGAACAATTTGGTGTAGCCTCCAATCGCATCAAACCAAAACCAAATAGGAACTGTGGAATCCAGTTACCTCAACCAAACGTTAAAAAAAAATTAATAAAAAGGTAAGCTTTATATATTGTAGCCTACACTTGTTAACATAATAGAAAACCAACCTTTTTTGAGGCCTATGCATGATTGATTACTTTACTTTGATTAGCTCCACAGATATAAGGCTGGCTGGCTTTTCATCATTTGTTCTTGCATACGGTTCTTTGAGCTTTCGAGTTATCATGAGTTCTATGGTGAAAACTAGCATTTTCTCTCTTCTGCTTCTTCTGTTGTTTCTTTCTGGCACTATTTTCATTTTCCAAGCAAAGGCAGAAACACTAAACAATGCCGGGAAGAATTCAGTTCGAGCCATTTTTGTTTTTGGAGATTCTACTGCGGACCCTGGAAATAATAACTACATAAGTACCGCATTTAAGAGCGACTTTCCACCTTATGGAAGAGATTTCTCCAACCAAATTCCAACGGGAAGATTTACTAATGGAAGGCTGGCTAATGATTATATTGGTGAGTCCCTAGTAGTAGTACATTTGATTTCTTTCTTTGAGTGAAATTAAGAAACAAGTTAAAGAAAAACCTATACATATGTACAATGTTTAAGTACCATGATTGTATGTATTTTTTATTTTATTTAATTTTTGCATACATGATTGTAACAAATTTGGTCATGGTTATAAAGTGCAGCCAAATACCTTGGTATCAAAGATTTAGTGCCACCTTATCTGGATCCAAACCTCAAAATTGAGGAATTGGTGAGTGGAGTCAGTTTCGCATCTGCTGGATCCGGATTTGACCCGCTCACACCACGACTAGGGGTCTGCTGTCTCCATCACCCTCTCTTAACTAGCTAGAACGAAAATAATTCAGAGTTATAAAACCCATATGCTGAATTCTTTTAAAAAAAAAATTTTTTTAACAATCTTCTGCAGAATGTGATCTCCCTGTCAAAGCAGCTGGAGTACTTCAAAGAGTATCAATTAAAAGTGGCCGCAGCAATCGGGCAGGAGAAGACTGGAGAACTAATAAGAAATGCCATGTTCCTTGTTAGTGCTGGCACAAACGACTTTGTCGTCAATTATTTCACGATGCCGATTCGAAGGAAAGCCTATACCATTTCAGGTTACACAGACTTTTGTCTGCAAAACGTACAGCATTTCTTGCAGGTTGGTTCCCCACCCAACCCCGGCCCAAATTGCAATTTGTATAATTTTTCTTTTCATCTAGACAGCTAATATTTGCATCGTCTTGTACGTATATGTTGTTGGCTTCTTGATTTTCTTTTTCGATACGGCATTGAATTCAAGGGAATTATGGCGCTGAAACATAGAAATAAATGTTGGTCCAATCTTGAGCTTCAACCATATGGTCCATAAACATGCATCTGTATGTATATTTTAATAGAAAGTAGGCTTTTATTGATCTTTACTTGCATGGGTAGGGACGGAAAACTATAACTTGATGCTCTCTCTCTCTCTGTTTTTTTTTTCCCAAAATTTTTTTCCCTTTTGGGAAAAAAAATTTGATGGTCCCTTCAAAGATGGTAGTATGGGGAAGAGGGGAAACACAATTTTGATTGTGTTTGGATAGCCAACCTTTGAATCTTTTATTTTGGCATTATGAACACTACATCTCTAAAGTAGTTGGACGTGGGTTGACCGTCTGTGCATGAAATTTAACATTTTTTGTGGCTCAGATTAATTGAAGGTCCAACTTTTCTATGTGAAAGTGAGCAATTGTTGTTTCCTAAGTCCTAATCCCTTCCAAAGCACAGAAGATTAGCAAAACACGAATAATTAATGGTCGAAGCTAAGCTGGTATACACTTAATTAGAAGAAGTTTCCAGCAGAAATGATGCGATTGCGTGATTAATGTGGAAGTCAAGATGGCCACCAACCATGGTGACTATTGGGTCAGATCGGTGCGAGGAATTTAATGTTCAAATGATCATTTGTGTTGAACTGCATTAGAGAAAATAGAACTCTTGACTAACAGATATGCTGTAGTGGACACTTATTAAGAGTTTTTTTTTTTTTTTTTTATAAAAATATATAGTTAATTTAAAAAAGTATTCAAATGTAAGAATGTAATACATATATAAGTGTTTACATTCACAAAAGGTTTACTAATACCAATCATTCACATATGTGTGTGTGTGTGTGTGAGAAATTAATGAAGGAAACTAAATCTTCTTTTGGTTTTTAATATTTGGAAGGATTTGTGGGATGTTGGAGCTCGACGAATCGGAGTTGTTGGGCTGCCACCGATGGGTTGTTTGCCGGTTGTGATTACCATCTACGCCGATCATCCCCTAACGAGTCGCGGCTGCGTCGACAGTATCTCGTCCGTCGCTCAGGATTACAATCGGAAACTCCAGAACCAACTGAACGCCACCCAAATCAGATTAGCAGCTAATGGTTCTCGAATTGCCTATCTGGATGTCTATGGGCCATTGGCAGAGATTACATCCCAAGGCCGTAAATATGGTTAGTCCCCCCATTTTTTATAAGCTATGTTGAAGGATTTCATAAACCACCATTTTTTTTTCCTTTTTTTTTGGTCATGACTTAATTAATCACTTTCCAAGACTAATAATTAACCCATTTAATTTTAGTGTTTTTCTAAAGGGATCCAATGGGCATTCATTGATATGCACTAACAATTATTATTCTCCGTTACATTAATACGCATTCCTTAATTAATTTTATCTTTTAAAAAATCTAACGTCTAAACTAGTTACATCTAAACAAGTATTTACCAAATAGTTACCCGTTAGACAAACCCATAATATAATATCAGAGAGTTTGGCTACTAGGGTCCATCGAGTACTAGCATGATGTTAATATTTTGTTGGATAAAATTGATTTATACAAAATATCTAATTGTTCAGAGTAACAAATGTAAATGTGTGCATTCATATGATAAGTTTAAATGTACATTTTTCACTTGGTCTAACAATTTACAAGACTTTCGGAACCATATTACTCCTTCTTTTGTGTGCATTATCTTACATTTATCATTAACAAATTTTTGACTCTTAAAATAATCAATATGCATTTTGCTTAACTTGAATTATTAGGTTTGTGAGTCACAGATTGAAATGCCAATTTATCGTGTGTAGATTTTGATGAGGTTAGCAGAGGCTGTTGCGGCACGGGGTGGCTTGAAACATCATTTATGTGCAACCCCAGGTCGTTCGTTTGCCCGGATGCCTCCAAGTACGTATTTTGGGACTCAATCCACCCAACTGAGAAATCATACGGCCTTGTCTTTCAAGCCCGTCGGCCTACGATTGATTACATTGTCAGTGATTAATGCTTCCTTCATTATTCCTGCGCTAATTCAAATTATACCTTAAGTAAATGTCTGTCGACTTAATTATATGAATTAGAAAATCGCATCTGAAAAAAGAGTTCATCTCAGTTTGGTTATTCGTCAAATTCGCAATAAAGAAACCACTTTTACATTTCAATAATATCTCTTCTAACAATTCATTTCACGAGTACAATAAACGACTCTGCGACGGCTGCACTCAAGAATTTGCAACATTTCTTTTTATCCTCAACTCCATGCATAATTAGCAGCCCTTTCCTCCTCCTTTTTTCTTTTTGGAGCTTAATTTCTTTCAGCAAACTCACAAGGTTGCTAAGCAAAATAATTCTTTCCTCAATTAAGAAGATCAACACTGATTGTTTTTAAAGCTTCATCAGCAAGAATCCCGTACAGGCTCTCTGTGAAGTGAACTGCATCCCAAAACACATACTTTGTCCGGTCAGAGCACGTAGCCAAACCCCGGCAAGTGCTGCCATATTCAAAGGTTCCTGTCCCACAACAGCCCTTTAATGCCTCTGTAAAACCTGCACAAAACAAAAATCCCGTCTGCATCATTAGTCATTTAATTTGTGGACAAGAGATTAGACAATAATATATAATATAATCCATGGTATTATTCCTAATTAATTGCCTCGTAAATAGTAAATACTACTAACCATATGATTTTGGATTCTGAATTACTGTTCCTATGATGGTGTATATGTCCACAAAGGAAGTTTTAAGCCCCAGGGACCCTTTTAAGCTTGTCAACTCTTGCCTTAACTTTGTACTGAATGAAAGGGCCAATTTGTTCAATGCTTCGTCGCATTTGGTCTCACCCCGAAACGTCAATACTAGTGGGAGGCAGCCAAGAGGGGGAACTCCCACTACCACTACTCTTCTTGCTCCTATAGAGTGCATTTCCTGCAAAAGTAAGTGCGATTGTTTATAAGAAATTCAGAATAAAGACATACTGTTGAGGTCATTATAAAAGATAATTCAATGGTTTAAGAACCAAAATAATTTTCCCAAAAAGTTAAGGGACCACATTATAATTTACCGAGACGCACCTTGATGGCACTAGACATAGAAGTGATCAAGAAATCTTCGTATTGTGCCACACTGAATTGTTTTGAACGTACAGGTTCCAGAAAGTAGTTTTGGAGAAAATCATTGGTTCCCATACTTAAAACAAAAACAGCATTGTTTATAAGTTCTTCAGCTTTGGTTGCTCCCACCAGCCGCCTCAGGTGTATCATGTAATGCTTGAGATACTCCATTTGTTTGGATAAGGATATAACACTCTGCCCTCCACAATTTATAAGGAAAGAGAAGAGAAAATTAATCAAATTACAATATTTTTTTTAAAAAAAAAATCAACCAATAAATTGAAGAGAAATTGGGTCTTTCATATAATTACTGAGAGATTTGCTGTGAGGTCATCGTAACCCGAAGCTGCTGATGCAAAACTAATGCCATGCAACATATCTATCTTGTTCAGATGTGGGTCGAGAAAACCTCGTATAATCTTCTTGTACCCTAGTGCCTCATTAAAAAATCTGCTGATTAAAGGTTTTCTGTTTGTCTTAGCCTAAAAACTTCATGAAATACTTCCATAACATTTATCTTGTAAAGAATTGTATACAATATCCAGACATGTGGAGCCTTCTCTCTTCTCATAAGTTCACTAGTCATTAGAAGACACATTTTGCTTGTACGATCATTTTTAGCATTTCCAGGGAAATGAAAGGTTGTTTGAGGAATTACTTGCTACCTTCTTTCTAAATGGTCTGCCTGCTTTTCCATATAATTACCTGGACAAACTTTTTTGACTTGCAACTTTTTAGGCTGTAAACTAGACAAGTAGAGAATTCATTTACCTCTCAACCAGTCAAATCAGACACTGATATGTTGTTAATTTCTCTACTTTTTGTTGATTGCAAATTCTGAACTTTCATGTCTCTCTGTATTCGCAATTCTTTGATTATTTCCTGCCTGGAATTGTTGGAATGGTTATTGACTATTAGCATTGCAATATTTTATGTAACAGTCTTCTATCCGAACAAGGCGGTCTAATGGCTCAAGTGCTGATGCAACTTTTGATGGGATATTGAAATGCTTTTCAAATGAAAACAGCGCAAAAGGAATCATTAAGAAAATGAGGCCAGACGTCACTCAATTGCTTTTAGCGCATGGCTTTCAGGTGAACAATAAAATTGTTGTAGATGTCATGCTTAATTTCCAGATTGCATATACGGGGATTGCGGTGTTGTAGCTCTAGAAATGGATAGAAGTAGGTTTGATAGAAATCCTAAAATCAAGCTTAGGTTTGACAGAGTTTTAACTTTACCCCTGGCATCCCCCCTTCCCTGGGGCCCAAACAAAACCGGACATAAGGAAAGCGTAGAAAATATATGAAGACAATGATATGAAATGAAAGCAAGCTGCAATTAGGGCAAAGAGTGATTATGCAATAATCAAAGAGTAAATCTTATATATACTGACAGTGTATACACTATCACCGTTTAATTCATGACATGTGTACAAAAGTTGAATATCAAATTCAAATTTTGCATAGTTGTCATTCATTCAACGTTGACAGTGTATACACTGTCAGTGTAGGAAAGATTAATTCATAATCAAAATACTATGTTTTGCCTTACTCTATGTTTGGCATTTCTTTTCAGGCTTTCTTGTCCTTGTCCTCGAAACATTCAGTTGAAGATGCCTCTGATAGCAAGCAGGATGTCAGAGGCAGCTCTATTATGGAAATATGTGAGAATGTAGTGTCTGCTTTTGCTTGTTTCAGAAAGGAAGACAAGTAAGATGTTCTTAATTGATGTGATTTTCACATTTGCGCTGTCTTTGAATTTCCCTGATAATTGAAACAGTTTAGCTCAGGAAAGTGTACGTGTCTATATATATATATATATATATATATATATATATGTATATATTTGGTAGGTGACTTAAGACGTCCTTCTCTTGTTCTGGTAGTTTATTTTTTATTGGAATTTAGATAACTTTTCAATCCAAATTATTGCAACAAAGGATAAGTTCACTAGTTTATCAAACTGCTGAGGTGCAAGGCACTCTGTAATGCTCCAGAGTTTAAAAATGAGGACAAAGAGTGTTTGGTCACTGCACGCAATTATTAGGCATAATAGTTTAGAGTTTTGGCATTCATTCGTAGCGTGGTGCATAAGTAATAGAGATTGCAGTAGTCATGTTTTCTACAATTTTGAGTTACATGAGCCGTACAAGTGCATTTCTATCCTGAAGATTGTTGATTATGTTACCTGATGACATTCCAATCATAGTTGTTTAACCTTATTTAGAATATTGGAAAATTGTAAATAAAAAAAAAAAGGATGCTGTAAGATCATGTAAAGAGAAGTGAATACAAATTTTGATAAGCGTTTTTATTGTTGTCAATTGACATATCTTCTGCAGGCAGTTTACCTTTTCGACTTTCAGTAGAGAAGCACTATTCACGGCCGCAAGTGTACTGTCAACAGGAGCCCGTTCATGAATTATTGTTTGTACATCAAAAGTCTCAAATTTGCTGGCCAACACTACAGATATAGGAATATGTTTTGTAAGGATATGTCAATGTCAAAAGTGGTTTGAATCATAATTATATGAGCTTTTTGTTTCGCTGAAAAATGGTTTGAATCATAATAGTTGGTGATTATGATTAAAGTTTCTCTGTGATGCCTTCTCAAAAACCCTTTTTTTACAATATTACATCATGTCAACAGGAAGTTATTGAGCTGCATTTGCAAAACAATTACATCATATTAAGTTATGGCACTAAAATGATTGTCAAAATTCAACATCACATCATGTTAACGAGTTATAGTGCTACAATGATTGACAAAGAAGGAAGTCTTCTTCCATATCATTCAGTTTCTTGTCAACCACATACATGGGGTATATGACATTGTTTCACTGTCCATTATGTTACTTGAACCATCGAAGGCCTTATGCTTGAAGTCAAGTTCAGCTAATTGCAAGGTTAAAATGAAGTTTAACATGCAGTTGCACCATTTTAAAATCCCCTCAGGCTTCTTGATTCTCTCTTGTGTGTCCTCGAGCCAATGGCATGGAAGCATGGTTTGTGTATAGGATATACTAATGAAGAATGGGCGGAAAAAGCACTGATCTCCAAAGGCCTCAGTTTACTGATGTACTTCAAGCATGCCGACAAAATGAATTTCCTCCAGTATAAGAACTTAAGAGCCATTGGCATACCAATTTTACTGTAGGGAACATAACATCTCAGAATCCTTTGTTACAAGTAAAACAATGCAGTCCTCCTAGAGAAAAGGAGGACAACTGACGAGCATAATGTACTTTCACAAACCAAATGTCCGGCATCTCCATGTCTTCGTCTGCTCAGACAAAACATGTCAACGCATGCCTTATCCTCGACCATCCCCTAATCATCCATGCTATGAATCCACAGTAGCCACCATATCCCCATCCTGAAGCCATTGCCCAACAAGGCTAGCCTTGTTATGATGCTTCCACTGTGTCATTTGTATTCCTGAAACGACCAAATAAGTTGGTTTAAACTCACAGCAAAATTAAGATTTGCTGGTAATGCCAAAGCATTGATGGCATGCACAAACCTTGATGCTTGTACCGAATCAAGTTGCATTGTCACTGGACCATCGTTAACCAAATTGACCTTCACCGACATAGAAACATGTCAGAATTGTGTTCTCACACTAAAAAATGTAAAGGTAAGAACTCAAAATACAGAGTTACGGAGTCCTGCCTTCATCATGGCTCCGAAAATGCCATCTGCAGAGGGCAGGAAAAATTTTGAGAGGTCAAGAAATAAAAATATTTGAGGACAGCAAACTCAAAGATAGACAATGCAGGTTAATTATTCTCCACTTTAGGATAGTGGAAAGATAGCAACAGGATTAAGTATTAACAGCATATCAGCAAGTTGGAAGATACAGAGTCCAACTAGTCTCAAGCACAAATAAGCAAACATATGTCCTCAAAAGTTTTAACAGGCCACTATTCTAGTAACTAGAATAGGAAAACGGCACTGAAAATTATAAGTCTGAGGCACACAACCTTGAAGACTAAAGAAAACCATTCAAGAGTAAGTGTTGAAACGCCATTAAACAGCAGCTGTAACAAGAAAAAAATTGTTGTCCTAACAAAGTGGATCAAACTTCATTAAACAGGGTAAGAAGTTCCAACCATCAACTATCAGAGTTGAAGAATGTTGGTTATCATTTTACACTTGCAACTGCCATAATGATATTTCTCACTTCCTGAGGTACCACTATTCATGAACAATTTCAGTGACAGGCATTATTTTCTATAGGAGGTGAATTAAAAGACTAGTCTCTTCATCACGGTTTTGCATTTCCTTCATATGTGGCAATCATTATTAGAGAACTGAATCCACTATAAAACCATACATAACATGAGAACGTAAAAAAGAATATACCAATAAAAGAAAAAAAAATACCAGCAAGACATATTCTGAAACAGTTAACCATGAAGTCCTAATAAACTTTCTTATGAACATTAATTCAGATTTTCATATGCAGTTGCGACAAATACATTATGATTTTAGTCAATCTTCTATTACCCAATTGGCTTTTCATTTTGAAGAATTGAAATAATACATATAAGAACACTTAAATGATTGCAAAAAGGCAAACAAACACTTCCAGCTTATCCAAAATCAAAGCTATGCCATTACAGTAGGGTCCAAAGAACATGGAAGCTTCCTAGAAACAAGCAGGCTTGGGTGCAGATTGAGGCTAATAACCATAGTTTAAATAGATGATTTGTTAATTTTTAGAAGAAAGTTTTCCATTCTATCCGTGTGACTAGTAATCAATCTTTAGATATGCAGCACAGATCAGCTAAATTATGCAATCATGATATCTTATGCAGTAATTCAGAAGTAAATTTTGTAAGGAAAGTTTTAGTACGAAATCTAAAACTAGGGGTGTAGAGCTTCCTAGCACTATTTCTTGAAATTAAGACTTACTGGTGGTAAGAAAGTTTATCAGCCTTAACGTTAACAATCATTGGACTAATCATCAATTCTGCCTTATGTAACCAGAGGCATATCCACTACCAACTCTAACATAAATCAGAAGAAATGATAAGCAAAGGAAATAAGTAGACAGCCAAAATAGGGCTTACCTTTTATAACATCAGGTGTGTAAGCTTTTCGAAATTTTTCAACCACAGATTCATAGAACGGCCTTGCCTTCTCAGGAGGCATGGCCACATGAAAATCAGGTTTGTTTCCCTTTAAAATCCCATACAATGTAAACTGGCTCACTGTACCAGCAAACCAGCATCAGAAGCAATACAAGTACAATTTATTAAGACGTAGTGCTCTTCCACAGTATCTTCAAAGAACAAAGATAAAGTATCATCAATTGACAACAAGAAAGGTGAAAGTAAAGCACCTACCCAATAAAACTTCCAAATTCTTTTGCATGACCTGCAAATGAAAAAAATCCCACGAACATTATTAGGAAAGCAATAGATAACAGATCATTTTTACCTTACCATTTAAATCATGTAGCATTTTCAAATCCTCTAAATTGGTACTTTATCTTCCTTGTGTCTATGGCAATTCCAACATCCCATGAAATTTTTGTTGTACAATTAGTTTAAACTCAATAACTCATTTTGACTTCCTTTCTACTTTCAATCAAACATGGCTTGATGCTGTCAGCGGATAAGATTAATATTAATAGCCTAGCAATATAAATCCACCATGGCAATTTCTACTTCTGCTATCGAAGTTTGTAAAACTTTTAAACACAGTAATTCAATACAATTCAACTTATAAGGCACTAGTTAACTTGAACTGAATTCATACGATCAAACTATATACGCACCTAGAACCTTTAAGTGCAACTTTGGCGAGGAAAATCAAAATAATGCAGGCAATAAAAGTAATTACTGATATCATGATATAAAATTACATAAATTGCTTGCAAGATGCAAAGGCTAAATTTTGTACAACATCTAAAAATACCTTAATATTACACCATAATTTAAAATGTCAAGATATTATATAATCCTAAATTAATAACATAATGTAATAAATAATCATAACCCTGCTCAAAGAGGGGAAAAAAGTTAATCATAACCCTATGAATCTTTCAGAACCAAAACACATTACTATGTTTGAGGGAGTTCATCAGAAAATTACATTTTGATCCCATGTCTTTCCAGTTTTCTCATTTGGAAATAGTCTCATGTTCAACACTTTCCGACATCTGCGGCACCAATAAATAAGTAAATAAATAAAACAATACACCAATTAAGCAAATAGATACCAATAAAAATCATATCCTTCAGAAAAAAAAACAAATAAAAAAACAGTTATGTACATGTACTCAGCATCAGAGTCCGCGTCGGATTCATGAAGGCCAACCAGAACAAGCAGGCCCGGCCCGATTGCCGAAACAATACGCCCCTCAACCTGCTCATTGCAGCTGAATTTACGTTGCAAAAAACTTAAGAAAGAAATAAGAAAGCTGGAAGGAAATTCTTCTGTGTTCTCGTGTGCGAAATTACGTTGCTAACCTCGACGCTGGCGGAGGCAACGCGCTGAACCACCGCTCTCATTGCTGTGATTTCGAGAATCCGGCGTTTCCTGGGTGCGGAGAAGCAGTAGGGTCGGTGGCGGCGCAATTTAGCCGCCACAGTGCAGGTGGCTAATATGTGGGAGAAATTAGGGGGTTGTTTGGTTTTTACTAAATTCATTTTTCCGGTTTTGGAATGGGGTTTTAGGAAAAGCGGCCCAAACCAAAGCCATTAGAGATGCCGTTCCAGGGAATAAAATTGATCAAGGGACACTACTATCTTTCATTATTCTATCCATATTTTGTTACTTGGAGTTAAGTGAATAATTAATAACTAAGCCTTCTATGCCAACTTTTACCTTCATCAACTTAATGAGGGACAGTTTCTGTTTTGGCCCCCTTTCTATAGGTCTATCCCAATTTGGTCCCCTCATTTTATGAACTTAGCTGATTTGGTCCCTTACTTAAATTAATGGAAAAATCTTGACTAAACCATCTTCTTATAAGCATTCCCTTAATAAAACATGTCCAATTTTTGTTAAAATCTCATGAAAGAACCAAAAAGATCGTGTCCGAACCAGATCGAAACTAAATGTCGAGAACTCGAAACTAACAGCAGAACACAGAACTAATAACTCAATTTCGACGTTCGATTCAATTGAGAATTTTAAAGAAATAAATTAAGTACAGAACCGTATTTTTTTTCCTACCTTCTTGTCAACCAAAGCCCCCCTCCCTATATATACAGTCTTATCAGATAAATAATGAGAAGCTAGGGTCTATCTCCTGACTTCATGATAAGTGCTTTACCAGACAACTAAAGGTTTGTAATTATTCCTCAATCTGTTCAGAAAGTAGACCTGTTTGGCATGACACGTGTCCCCAATAAAATCTCTGCCTCTGCATCTCACGAAGGTGATTTAGAGTTGGTTATAGACGAAAGTATTTGCGATGTCATAGGAGCATGAATCAAGATGGTAGAAGTGTCCACATTTTGGTCTTTGGATGGCAATTGGTAACGATAATTAGCTTGCCACAAACTAAACCATTTTGGATGTCAGTCCTCTAAAACTAGTTTCCTTTAAAGAAAATTTCTAAAAATGAGCCTCCTGGCACTGCTTACAGCGAAAAT